GAAGTCAAATTTTAAGGGCTAATGATAAATATCATAAAGCTAGCCATTTGAAATAATGATAATATTACTGCTTTAGTGTCTTATAGTAATCTTGACTATTATCGTTATTATAAAGGTTTTTACCAGTTCCAAAACACCCGGTGATAATGACATTGAGTCCATTGATTTGACATCGATGTTACTGTTTCATGTCCAAAAATTGACAGCTCTACATTCTACTACAATTACTGAATTACTAAGTCAGGTTTTTCAGTCTCCGACAGACTGCTTCATCAATGGTTTCCATTATAACTTTGACGTTCATATTTAATAGTTCTAGTCCCTATTGTGGCGTTGAAATTCGAACTATTTATACAGTTTTGAGCTTATTCCAAACAAGCCGAGCATATTGATTAAATTCTTACCAATAACATGGTCATAATACAAAGCCCTTGTTAATCACTAGCTAAAATTTAATAGGGCATTTAATCAAAGAAGAACTTAAAAGCTTCTTCTGGTAAATAATTTGATCGAGTTGAAGTTGTATGATTAGAAAAGTTGCCAACAGGTTGTACTTTGGGAATCTAGTCTTGAGTTTCGTTCAATTAATGGGCATTGGATTTTACCAAACCAAATGGGATAATCATTCTACATGCCCATGAATCCAGTGAGTCTGCCAGTTGCTTATCTACAGAGGGTGATCTAATTGCTCACGTAACGGCTTATCCCATCTTTAGGGCAATATTAAAAACGCAATTGCAGGTTAATGTGCGAATCTTCTAAATTTCATACACTAAGACTATAGTTTCGTCATCACTTATAAAATTTTTTATATGGCAATTGCACACCTTATTCGCAAAATTAAATATTACATATTTTTCTGGATTTGCCTTCCAGCTTTGTTAAAATCTTCTATAATGAATCTGAAATTTCCTTGGTTTTATAGAAGCGAAATGAAATTGACACCGTCCATCGAAATGTCAAATCAAAACCAGAAGTGTTCATGAGATAGATTTTAACTAAATATTGAACCAGACAGCGTCAGCTTTTCCCAAGGTGTCAAAAAATTGAGATTAGCTTGACTTTTCAGGCACAATATCTAAATTTTAATCCAAGGCTTTATAAAATTGTCCTTATGCCATATTTTATGAAATTAAAGTATATTCGAAGGAGGGCATGGAAAAGTCACAAAACAAGTTCGAAGATAGATTTTAAAAAACTTCTAGCGTTCAAGATCGACTGAATAAAGCCTGTTTGCTGTGAATATTGTTGTATGGGGGGGGGGGGGATGCACTTCCGGATATCAATTTCGTATTCCATAATCTTTGACATTTTTGCTTTACTAGACCCTTATTTATTATTAGTACATACTGAAAAGTATCAGAGTGTGTACTGATAAGTGGTATTTCATATACTTAAATACGAAGCTTGCGATCATGGCAGAAAACAGTTTGAAAAGCAAAAATATCATTAATAGCGAAGAATTAAGTTTTATTGTAACTAGTGAACTAGCATTAATATAAATACTGCTTTCTGGCTAAAACAAATTTAATAAAATAAACTATGGCAGCTGAATCAATTTATAATTTTATCTTATTTTTGGCGTTTCTAAGGCGAACGTGTTTTAATGTTTACCAACCGTAACTCATTTTTGCATCATTTAATTATTCGAATATTCAAGTGGCTTTATTTTGATGTTTTTTGCATTAGCAATGTTTTTTTTCATAAATGCCTTTTATTTTTTGTGTAAATTCTCATGCTAACATCTATTTATCTCTTATTCTAGCTTTGGTGATGCAGTCCGGTGTGCAAACTCGCTCACGTAAAAGCCAACTGAAAACTAGAGTAGGTTTCTTGCTAGATCCATGAAAAAATTAGCTTCTTTAACTGATTTTATCAATTACCTCTTTAAGAATGACGAAAATGCCATTATAGTGAGTAAACAGGTCGCTAAAACAATTAACACCAGATCGAGATCAAGAGTACCTTTGGTCCCAATTGATACAAATCCCATATCAAAGAGATCGACGAGAACCGAAAAGGATTGTAAGCGGCAAAAGTTATGTGTTGGAAAAAATTTATTCTCTGCTGAACTTCGACGGTTTTCTTCTCCCGTACGGTCGATTGCTATTCAATTCTTCAAACAAAGGTGCGCAATTAGGGTGAAGTGTATGGCAAAAAATCCGTCTATTTTCCTGGAACTTGACAAGGATTTCGGACATGTACATAAAATAGATAATCATATAGCCGAGTGCTCTTTCGACTATTTGCAAATGAAGTCAATTTTAGCCTTTCATCTTGAGCAGAATTTCATGAAACATTGTGTTGGATTAAATCCCCGAATGCGCTATATTCTTGTCGATTGGATGGTCCAAGTTCACTCTAGTTTTCGTCTTCTTACTGACACTCTGTATTTGGCGATTGGATTGCTGGACCAGTTTTTACAGGTGTGCATATAATATTGGTTTATATATTTTTAGAAAGCCTGCGATATAGTTACCAAAAATACATTTCAATTAGTCGGTATCACGACGCTCTATATTGCCGCGAAATACGAGGAAATGTTTCCACCTGATGTGCATCAGTTTTGCAATATCACCGAGGGTGCTTTTTGTGCGTCCCAAATCCTAGACTGTGAAATTCTTATTCTCAACAAACTTGATTTTGACATGGTTATTCCAACACCATACTTGTTTCTTCGGCGGTTGCTACTTGCTCTTAGAGCTAATTCTTTAACCCAAAATATGGCTAAGTATTTTCTAGAAGTTGGCTATCAGGAATACAACATTGTTCACTATGGACCGAATTGTCTTGCCGCAATGGCTGTTTGTTTGGCTAGGGCGGTCGTTACCAATCAGCCCATTTTAGAGAAAGTTTGGGATGACAGAATATCTTTTATTAGTGGCCTCTTAATTGATGATATCCGCGAACCTTTAATAACAATGGCCAGGGGTGTGTATCGACAAAAGGAACCTTCCAAATATCGTGTAAGGACTTGAATTCTTTCTTATATATTTTTTATTAGAGCACTTATACTAAGTTTGGATCTAATGATGCTTTTCAACGTGTATCAACTTTACCGCAAATGGAATCGAAAACAATGAGGTTAATAGCTGGTGAACCTTGAATTTCTGTGGATCTTGCATTTGTAATCTTAAATAAATTCTTTTTTTATGGTCGTAATTTATATTACATTTTAATGTAGGCGACCTTATTAGAATATTCTTCATTTATACATATATATATATATCCTATATGTAATCTCGATGTACTAATAAATGTGTGATTCTTAGTTTTCCTTGTACCCTCTAAATGCAAATGTTCTTTCCTTCGGAGTTGGTTTTTTCGCTTCATTCGAAATGGATTTCACCGGAATTGTAGTCCTTGATGTGAATTCTCTCATGATTACAGGTACGTGTGGCAGTTTTGTATTGAGTTCTAGTCCGAACTGAAGTAGTTTCTTTTCCCTAAAATACGGCTTTACTATTTTGTTTTTATTAGTTTTGTCACTTTGAAACGTTTGATCAATGAGCGTAACTTGTTAGTTCATTTTGTCTGGTCGGTTTTGTGTTATTATCGCAATTAAAGTCCAATCTAGGATCCGAGTTAATAAATGCCGCGTTCTCTTTACTAGTTGAAATGGTGTTATGAGTTCATTAAGAACTTCCACAAAACACAGCGGATGGTCTTAGAGTAGAATACTATCCTTTTGCGATTTTGAGTTGTTTGTAATTTTTTATGGTCTTGGACTTAAACTACTCATTTTATCAAACTTCAGGTGTGGTTTCTTAAGTGAGAGAATAGATCTCGACTGATTTCGTGTCATTGACATGAAAGAGCATGTAGATTCTTTGAGTTCAAAATGCTTTTTCTGAATTCGGCTTTTTTGAGTAAATTAAACTGATTTTATTGAATCACTTACCAGATTGTATTCAACGCGATGCAAATCCTTAATCTGTCTTTCTTCAAAATGGGTGATCAGTAAGTGAATGGAAGTTGGTGGATTAACTGGAGATGATTTTACATTATTACTGGGTCTTCTTACTTAACCTATGTTTCACTGTATTATTTTGATTCCTACAGATGACAGGAGTGCGGGTGTTGGTTGAAATGTAAATGAATGTCTAGGATTGGGGAAGTAAGTTTCATTCTAGATGGATATTCGATTGGTAACAAATTCATTTTTAGCTGGGTCCTTATGGTTTTTCGGCTAATTGAAAAGACTAATCAATGAGTGCTGACCGCATCCGTTCAAAGATGATGTTTGAACTAGCAAGGGCTATACACATAAGAGGTGTCCGAAGAGAATGTTTGGCAAGGACAACTATTTGTTCTAAAAATCTACATTTTAATGGCACTAGGGAGCAGTAATGGGAGTACAATCACTGCAGGGTGGGCATGGGCGAAAATTTCCCGCTTTTCTCTTGTCAATGAAAGATGTACAAGCCTTTAGCTGCGATTCCACACAGAACCTATCTTGGATCGAGAGTATGCTTCCTGGGATATTAGTGAATTGAATAATTTCTTGCTTTCCTCTGGGGATATCTGAGGGGATTGAGTTACATTTAAAAGCGATATAGGGTTGAGATTCCGATCATCTTTCTTCCTGCACCCCAATAATTATACGCCTTATCTAGTCGTATGCAATCCTGTTAACAGATACACTCAAATATCATTGTATGTTTGCAGACGTAGTACGGCGTTGTTAAACTCCCTTGCTGTGTGGATAGTTCTTTTAAGATAGAAATTCAGATAGCGTTTCTAAAATGACCATTCTCCACTACTCTAGTTGGTTGACACAAGTTACTAATTGTTTTGTCAGAATGTTCATGGGTTGTTGGTGAACCCTTTCGTTCCAAAAACTAAGATGAACAAGAGAGTCTTGAAAAAGGTATTGTAAACACGGTTTAATTTTACTATAGGCAAGGCTGAATTGACCATAAGCTCTATTTTTACTAAATAAAAGATGATGCGGGGTATGGACACCAACTTAGCCAGTTTGGATTCTTTACTATAGTTGTCCTTGGGGAAGCGAAACTGAAAGTCATGTTGATAGGTTATATGAACTAATACTAAAATATATAGTTCTTATTAAAAGGTATTAAAAACGAAATGAAATTTAATGTCATAATCAATCTAATTTTCAAAATGAATGTAGCGCTTATCATTGTCATAGAAAGAAAAAATTCATACAAGTGCCAAAAATATAAGATTTCAGATTTTGCAATTAAATATATCCTTCAAATACCGATATTTGTGAAAATTGTTACACGATTAACAATACCAGGAACGATTTTTTGTTGTAGTAGTAGCTGATTGCTATATCGAATAACGTTGCTTAGCAATTATGCGAAGTATATTGGGCTATTTTTGTGTTGTAATTCGTCGTTAACATAAAATCAGATGATTTCTATTTGGTTTCTAATGTTCCCATCTTTCATAAACTTTGTAATAGACTGTTCGCTTGTAGGGGATAAAGATGTCTATTCAATATGTGCATATATATATATATATATATATATATATATATATATATTATTTCACAATATTCGTTGTGCGCTCCTTACATCTTTTGCAAATTTTCCATTTCGCTTTTTAGCAAAATTTTAAATTTAACAGATGTTCAGTTATGTGGCTAATTGATTCACGTTTATTTTATGATATTTGTATTTAAGTAACATAATCCATACCTCTTTTCGAATTTCTTACTCGGCTCTTAGATCTCCCAATTACAAATACGATATGACAGTAATAAAATACGAAACGATCTATATCATTATATCAAGACAAGATGGGTATCTTTGATATGCCAATTTGCATTATAATTAATTTACATAACCACGGTGTTAATAAATTCGTTCAAACAAATTTATTTAATGGCTGGACTTAAAAAGCGAAAATAAAGAACTTTACGTGCGAGCATCATATATACATCTTGTTTTTTTCCAGTAGCTCTCATGGTTCCGTCATCTTCTGTCTCACTCTAACTTTGACATTTAAATGCCTTAAAAGGTTGCGAAAGTACTTATCATTTCTATAACCACCTTAAAAGGCTGAACTCCATATGCCCAACTTTTGAGCTATGTTGAGGAAAGTTTAAGAAACGACGTGACAAAAGTTAGTATGACAATGATGGGTAGAGAATATGAAGGAAAAAATGCGAGGAATTTCAAAATGAATGTTTTCTTCATTTTCTATACTTAAGTATAAAGGATAAGTAAATTTGATATTGTGGGGAACACAGCGCTAGCTTGTGTGAAGCAAAGAAGCTCTCAAGCGCTCGAACACCTGGAACGCTGTGAGCAAGTTGTCAATCACGCAAGGGAGCAGATGTGGTCACGAGCTCAGAGACCTCTCAACCAATCAGCAATCAATAATTATATCATGGTTAATACATTCGAAATCATATGTAATGATCAAGCTCCGTGTCAGTGACACAGCTCAAATAAACCCTTTTCACGTCATATGTCTGTTTCCTCTAAAGTTGAGGTTGCATAGCAAATCCTGGTGACCACATCGAAAGAAGATCCAGCTATAGCTATTACTGGGCATGAGCCAAGGTTTAGAAGTGTATAGAGTTGTTGTATGCTTTCGATGCCATCTAATTTATGCTTAAGTTTAATGGATTATATCATTTCCATATACAACATTTCTGACCTCGAATTAATGATCAATTTAAAATTTTATAAAATCAAATCAAAAGAATTTGATCATCTAGGTTTAAGGAAAATTTTAGCATGCGATTTGAATGATTGATTAGTTTATTTCTAAAATGATTTACATGGAGTTTGTCTCCCAACAAAGTCAGGAGAATATGCATATTACTAGCTTAGACTTGCAAGTGGCAACTGTTTTCTTAAACCATATCATATAGCAGGTGCTTAGGTAAATTAAACTTTTTCTCATTATAGAATTTATTTATTAATTTCAAATGGCAAGCTTTATGATATTTATCATTAGCCCTTAAACTTTGACTTCAGCTTCCCCCAAGGGTAGGGGTACATTTATAGCAGTTAATTAATAGCAATTCATTAGCTGTCTTCTTGCTCCCCAGTATCTCTGGCTTTCCGTCGTTGCCTTTAGGGCTGGACACCGAATCAGGTGGGTCTTCTCCATTTCCTCCTGTAGGTTACATAGAGGGCATGTGGGTTGAGTGCATACTCCCAATCTGTGAAGGTGTTTTGCCAAGCAGTCGTGTCCGGTACGTAGTCTAAACTCAGCAATGGCTTCGATTCTTGGCCAGTCGGGTATGTCGGAGAGTGCCACTGTCCACTGTTTCTCCTTTGTTAGAGCTTTAATTTCGTTGCACCTTGAGGTATGGAATTCTCTCCTGATTGAGGCCTTCAATGTGTGGAAAGACATCGGCCGGTCCATGCATTGCAAAATTGTTGTCCCCTTCTTAGCAACTGTGTCAGCAACCTCATTGCCTTTAATGCCACAGTGATCAGGAATCCATTGTAGGACCACTGTTTTGTTTTCTCTCTCAACAGCTGATAGAGGTTTCTACATTCGTTTATCTCAGCTGTTTTGGGTGGC